CCCTTATCCTAATCCCACTAAGTGTACCTCTGTGTTAGAGTATGATCATGCTGATGTTTGGGGTCCTTCTAGTGTCTCTACCCACGGGGGTAAGAGATATTTCCTGTCCATTATCGATGATTTTTCTAGGAAGGTGTGGGTCCGTCTCCTTGAACATAAGTCCGATGTCTTTGTGAAATTTAGGGAGTGGAAAACCCTTGTAGAAAATCAAACCAGTGAGAAGGTTAAAAACCTTAGGACCGATAATGGATTAGAGTTTTGCAATAAGGATATGGACCAACTTTGTGTTGATTGTGGGATCAGAAGGCACAAAATTGTGCCCTATACTCCCTAACAAAATGGGATAGCCGAGAGAATGAATAGGACTGTTCTAGATAAGGTTAGGAGTATGCTTGCTACCGCCGGTTTGTCTAAAAAGTTTTGGGGTGAAGCAGTCAACACCGCTATCTACTTGATTAACCGGTCTCCCTCTGTTCCCTTGGGTGGGAAATGCCCTGAATCTGTTTTCTCAAACAAACCCCTTGATTTGTCTAATCTTAGAGTGTTTGGGTGTGCTGCGTATGTGCACCAACAAGGTGACAAATTGGACCCTAGGTCTAAGAAAGGAGTCTTCTTAGGTTATCCTGAGGGAGTGAAGGGGTACAGGGTTTGGGATAGAAACCAGGTAGGTTTCAAGGTTGTGGTAAGTAGAAACGTTGTTTTCAATGAATCCGAGTTCCCTTGTTTGGTTAAGTCAGTTCCTGATTCTGAGTCGAGCCCTAGTAGTACACCTGTTGAGGTGGAGTACATACCATATGTTGCTAGTCCTTTGTTTGCTAATCATGATTCTTCTGACTTGCATGATTCTTCTGAATTGCATGATTCTTCTGAGCATGATAATACCACCACTTCGAGTGAGGTGGAGCATTCTCATGTGCATTCAAATAACAATGAATCGCATGATGAGAGTGCTGATTCTAGTGAAAATGATTTGCATGATTACCAACTTGTCAGAGATAGAAGTAGGAGAGAAATTAGGAGAACTGCAGATAGGATGCCTGATTTTGCTTTCCATGTGTGTGATACTTCTATGTTTGCTTTCTCTGTGTTTGAGACCCTTGAGCTTAACGAACCTAGAACCTATAGAGAGGCCCTTAAGTCTAATGAGTCCGCTAGATGGCTTTGCGCCATGGAAAGTGAGATGGAGTCACTTAGAACGAATAAGACTTGGACGTTAGTTCCTAGACCGCCCAATAGTTCCGTAGTTGAGTGTAAGTGGCTATTTAAGGTTAAGGAAGAGCCTAACGACATTAGATATAAGGATAGGTTAGTAGCTAAATGATTTACTCAAAAGGAAGGTGTTGATTATGCTGAAATCTTTGCTCTTGTTGTTAAATTCACTACGATTAGAATGATGCTTGCTCTTGTTGCTCATAGTGATTGGGAAATGAAGCAAATGGACGTCACCACTGCTTTCTTGCATGGTGATTTAGACAAAAAAATCTATATGACTCAGCCTGAGGGATTTGTGGATCCCATGAAGAGTAATCATGTGTGTTTGCTTAGGAAGGCCTTGTACGGCCTGAAGCAGTCCCCGAGGCAGTGGAATATCAAATTTGACCAGTGCATGTCATCTTTGAAATTTCACAAGTCCGAGTGCGACCATTGCCTATACTTTAAAAATACTTCTTTTGTGCCTGTATTTTTATTACTTTATGTGGATGATATGTTGATTGTTAGTCCTTCGGGTGACGCCATTAAAGGTGTGCAAAAGCGTCTCAGTGAGAACTTTGCAATGAAAGACCTAAGTGATGCCAAAAGGATCCTAGGCATTAACATTGTTAGAGATAGGAGTAAGCGTGTGTTAGTACTCAATCAGATTTCATACATTGAAAAGATTTTGAGTAAATATAACATGCATTCTGCTACTACCGTCTCTATTCCTATGGCGTCCCACTTTGTGTTAAGTAAGGATCAGTCTCCCAAGACTGCTCCTGAAATTGCTAAAATGAAATCTGTGCCTTATTCCAATGTTATTGGGTCCGTGATGTATCTCATGGTGAGTACTAGACCTGACATTGCCTATGCTGTGAGTTGTTTGAGTAGGTATATGTCTAATCCTGGTTTACCTCATTGGAATGCTCTTAGTGGTTGCTTAGGTACTTGAAATCTACTGTTAATCATGGGTTGGTTTTCACTAAGTGTTCTGAGGGTGTTAAGTTGAGTGGGTATGTGGACTCGAATTTTGCTAACGATAGAGACAATAGGAAGTCCACTACCTCTTATGTGTTTACCCTTTGCGGGTCTTGCATTAGTTGGAAGTCTCAACTTCAACCCATTGTTGCCCTCTCCACTACTGAGTCCGAGTATGTGGCCGCTACCGAAGCATTTAAGGAAGCCATTTGGCTTAAATGTCTCCTAACGGAGATTGGTAGTCTTAAGCAGGACATTTGTGTGTTTTCTGATAGTCAATCTGCTATTCAACTGTGCAAAAACCCTGTTTTTCATGATAGAACTAAGCATATTGATGTTAGATTTCATTTTATACGTGATATTGTAAGTGCAGGTGATATCAAGTTGATTAAAATTCCATCTGAATTTAATCCTGCTGACATGGGGACTAAATGTTTCTCTGTCGAAAAGTTGTTGTCGTGCAAGCGCACGTTAAACATTGATTGCGGATAAGTTGCCTGGTGATCTTACCCCCTTTTGCCTGAATGTGTCTTTGTGATCATTCGTGCAATTCAGCGATGATGAGTCTCATGTATGTATTAGAGTTTTGACTCTACACCACTAGGGTCCAATAAGGTGGAGATTGTGTTAGGTATTGGCCCAAATTTAATCATAAGCCCAATTCACAAATGAGGAGGATCCGACCCATGTTTTCTTTTCTTCCCGTTCGCACCATCCCCCTTCGGCCTGCACGTTTCTTTCCTCCTTTCAGGCTTCAATGCCTATCTCTCTTATATGGTAAGTTTCCATTTCGATTCCTGAAGCTTTGCCTATATATATTGTTCTCTTTCTCTGCCGCTTGGGAGATAGCCAAAAACCCTTCCTCCATAATTCGAACAAACGGCTCCTCCGTGGACCTTGAATTGGCAGATTAGGTTTTAGAGGTTGTTGCCACATTTTTCCCCTTTAGGCTATAGTGGTGATATTCATCCTTTGTGGATGAAATTGGAGACCTGAGCTGGAATAATCGCCTCATTACACAATTCATATATGATGGAGTACTATTTTCATATTAACATGACACTATCGGGGCATTGCCCCGGGTGTTACACCAGTTCACTATAAATTCCAACATGTCTCAGTTCAAAATTACAAACCACAATGGCAACAAGCAAAGAATACTCCGAGCCAAGTGGCAGTTCAAAATTCTAATCATTGTATTCGATGATTAGGGAAGTTAACCACACTAGGTCAAACTGGGCTCTAAAAGTAAGGGTGGATAGAGCGTATGAGGTTTCCCCTCAATCCAAAGGAGATGCAAGAATGGAATTTGTTTTCCACGATGAGAATGAAATTTATTATTCATCTTAAGAATACATATTCCATGCTTAGTGTACAATTTCCATCAATTTGACGCGCTGCAGAGTCTAAGGGTCGTCAACGACAAATTGCTTATTGGTAATTTCATATACAACATCATATGAACGTTTTCCTATAATCACACCATTTAATATCAGTCTTTTTTCAGATGTAATTGGTAAGTACGTAGGGAAGTCTCCAGTACAAACACCTATCGTTAACGGAAAACCAGAAAAGCTAATTGAACTAACTTTGGAAGATCCAGAGTACTGTCCTAATCTTGAAAAACATCTATGATATTGTATTAAAGAGTTTGATTCTTATTCGGTTATGATGAAACTCTTTTTAGTTTGTAGTGGAAATCGTATTGGATGCACATTGTGGAACAACTACTGCAAGCAGTTTACTGATTTTTATGATGCTCATAACAATGAAGCCATCTACATCATCCTACAAATGGGAAGACCTAGACGGTATCAAGGTAAGGTTTATACGCATTCAAAAAACATTAGTTGGTTGGAAGGCTTCAGATGGGTTCTAAAAGATTTCAAACTCATTCAGGTCATGTGTTGGTTGGAACATCTTATGATGTTTCCAAGTTGATAATAAATTGTTCTACCCCAGAGTTTGAAGACTTCAAAGCACAGTTTGGACCAGATGACGATAATACAACAATCACTACCTTCACTGCAAATTCAGTGGGTCAAGGTAGTGAGGACGTTTTTAGAGGAAAGACTACTATCACTAACATCAGTGATTTGCTAGAGGAACCGCAGGTTAAAAGATGATTTAAAACAAAGAATTTGTAAAAATGATCAACTTTTGTAACTACCCGCATCTGTACATAGGATGGAACCTATTGGCTACTTGGTGATATTGTATCACTAGACAACTATAAGGAATGGTGCTACCTTAGCTGCCCAACATGCAACAAGAAAATCAAGCCGGAAGATGAAAGGTTCAGATGCATTACATGTGACACGACTCTTCCTGAGGGATTTTTGAGGTTGTATTGTTTGTTAAGATGGATCCCTTGTCACTATTTTAAACTAATACTACAACATCAAACATTAATATGCCAACTTCCGGGTTGCAGATACAAAGTTTCAGTTTGTGTCATGGATGACTCAGGTCACGCTACGTTCACCTTATGGGATAGGGAATGTATTGAGATTGTGGGGAAAACATCAACAACATTAAGGAAGGAAGTTGAAAAGGTTGATTCAAAAAATACTTTTACATTACATTTCTGAAAATAGAAGGAAACTAATGAAGATTTTCATTTTCAGAAAACTGGAGACCCAACCCACTTCCCATGGGACATAGAGGCCGGCTTTGATTGATCAAAGAAGCATCTTCAAAATTCAAATAAAAGCAAGGGACGAAAATACTTCCCACAAAGGTCTAGTTTCTTATGGGATACTTGCAATGATAAGAGATAGATCTATCTTGGCCCTTTATACAAAAAATGACAGCCATGCACTTGAGATGGATGAGAACGCATATGTAGAGAAGGTATATGTTTTCAAATGTTTGATTTGGTGTGGACGACATAATCTAACAATTGTTATAAGTGCAGAGTGGATCAACAGGAAACGAGATGGAAGATGGAACTGCTAGCATTAAATCAAAACAGAAGGTGGGGATGAATCATTCCTATTAACTAATTTTGTTGTATTACATGTTACTAATTTATTTTGTATACAGGTTGTTTTAATTGAAGATGATGATTTCGTGTCACCTACCCAAGTTGAAAACAAAGATGAAAGGAGGGTCACTGAAAAGGTAGATGTTATAATGAAATTCTTTTGACTTTTTAGAGTTAAGTAATGAGGCAACGAATAATTTTTTTCTCTGGACCAGGGTAAGGAAGTTGATTGCCAAGAAACACCGACAGCTAATCGGACAAGTGGTCATATTGAATGGAATGACCAACTTAATAGGAATCTGAATGACCAGTTTTCGGCTAATGTTAACAACAAAAGGAGGAGTATCTGCATCAAACAAGAGAAGGAATAGGGGTGAAGATTGACCAACAGGCTCAGATACATTTGGTTTGAAAAAAGGAGTGGATTGATGATTTGTTTGAATATTTTGTTTGAGCACTTTCATGTTTATTTAAAACAATGCCTTACTTTTTTGCTAAACTACAAGCTGGGTCTGTAATAATACTAACTCCGTTTTGCATTGTTCAAGTTGTAGGCTTGAACGATTGACCTAAGACTTATATTTTTGATATAAAACCTATTTTCTTGTGTTCGATTTTGCAATGTCAATTTTGCAGGGTTAAAGGCCTCCTAAGGATGCGTTCACATATGGCAGAAGGACATAACACATATATTGCGGAAAGGAGATTGTCATATAGAGGAACGAGAAGACTGAAGAGAGTCCAGAGGGCCTTAATTGATATAGAAATTCTAGGCAACAATTATTTCTTATTAGTGAGAGTGGTAATTGTTTTGATTATAAATAAAACGCAATTGAGTTATGAATTTAAATATAGTATTGTGCTATTTAAAGTTCAAGTATTTTTGAAAAACACTATGTAGCACTATATGTTTAAACTACAAACCTACATATCTTGAAAACGATTCAACATGTCTTATTACATGTGGTTAATGTCTCATAATAGAGGTTTTAATGAAATAAGTCTTTTTATGTTTCCAAAAATAAGTTTCTCATGAAAAAATATGTTTTCTGCCTAAGTTTAACCGGATGGTGAAAAAAATTGAGTAGGAGATAAAATAATTTATAAGGATTTATAAAATAAGTTTCAGATGAAAAAAGATTGATCATGTTTAATCGAAATTAGAACTACATATTTCTTTATGTGATGAAAATTTACTAAGGTTAACATATTGTACTAACAAAAATGTTAGTACAAAAAACTATCACCTGAATAATTTGCTGCCTAAAATGAAAAAAATAGGGCTGGATTAATTGTAGGTGTGGAAAGAAACCTACGACTTGGGCTGTAGTGTTACATACATTTCTTTGACTATACTAGATTTTCACCCGCGCGATGCGTGGTACATAAATTAAATAATAATATTAAGCAATAATAGTTAATGTATAAATGACATGACAGAGTACATATGTAATACACAAAAACAATTGTAATTAAGATAAATATATATACCACTCGTAATTGGTAAAATATTGTTTTGGGAGAGTAAGGAATAAGAAACATTATAATAGGAAATCCATACTCTACACGTTTCTAAATACTTCTTTGTAGACAACATTGGTAGTACGGTCTAGTTTTTCTCCATTTTCACCGCATATGAGTATCTTCAAACCTTTGCGATTTGTCACTTTTGATGCTGCAACATATAGTTGACCATGTGTAAAGACAGGCTTTTTCAATATAAGGCTAACATGCGTCAACGATTGACCTTGACTTTTATTTATTGTCATCGCATAAGAGGTCATCACAGGAAATTGTCTTCTTTGAAACTTGAAGGGTATTCTTGAATCTGATGGAGTCAAACTTAACCTTGGAATGACAACTTCAAGTCCTGCGTATTTCCCCACTAGAATTTTTTCTCCAAGAATGTGATTCCCAAGCCGTGTAATAATCAACCTTGTTCCATTACAAAGGCCCATAGAAGGATCAATATTCCTGAGAAGCATTACTGGAGTACCCACTTTAAGGATTAACTCGTGATTCGGAACTCCTAATGCACGGATTTTATTGGGGAATTCAGGAGTGTGCAAATCAGCCAAGAAATCAGAATTTGAGTCTGACTTGCAGATGCTATCAGAACTCAAATATGTCCTAGACTCTTCTTGAACATTGAAAGATGTCATGTATTCATTGATTTGATCCACAACATAAAGAGTTGGAGCTAGAATTGCACGCTCTAGCAAGTAGGACGAATCATTGGCAATATTCTGAAAGTTAGGATATGCACTTTCCACAATAGTGGCAATTGGATCCTCTCCACACTCTAATAGAATGTCACTTGGAATTCGGACATCAGCAAATCCATCATTGACTTCGCCCGCAATACCATCTCCTAGATCTGCAATCCACTTCGCGAACTCTACCAAATCTTCGTATTCACGATTGTCGCTAAGTGATTGGAGCCTCATGTTCTTTGTCAAACACAACACAATACACTCATGCCAAATATATGAAGAATTAGTTGTGGCATTCACTATGTCTTGTCTGGTACCCTTTGTAATGACGGGTAGAATTTGCCTAGTCTCCCCCGAAAACCACCGTTTTCCCTCCAAATGATTTATCTCCGTTATATGAATTTGTAAATCTGAGGATGTCTCTCAAACTCCTGTCAAGCGCTACAAAACAATACTTGTGCATCATTGGTGCCTCGTCCCATATAATGAGTTTGCACCGAATTATCAACTGTGCTAATGGACTCCATTGTTTGATGTTACATGTGGAGTTCTCAGTCGGATTGATTGGTATCCCAAACCGTGAATGAGCAGTCCTCCCACCGGGTAACAGTAAAGTTGCAATGCCACTGGATGCAATATTTAGAACAATTTCCCCATTTGACCTCAAAGCAGCAGACAATGTTTTCTAAACAAAGGTTTTTCCTGCACCTCCATAACCATATACAAAGAAAACCCCGCCTTTATTTTCATGAACTGATTCCATAATCTTTGTGTACATGTGACGTTGCTGATCATTCAGACTATCAATGCATTTCTCATGCTCTTGACATAACGTTGCACGATCATATTGCAATTCGTTAAATATAAGCCTATTCTGAGTCATGGATGATTGACTCATGTCAGGGAATTGCATTGATGGATAGTTCTTTAAGCTCCTGTCATTCCTTTTCAACATTAGCTCTATTTCAATCAGTGCATAATTTTTAATCTCAGCCTCTGTCAACGCTAAATCTAAAACAAAGAATTCAAAACCACCATTAGCATAACAAAGATATGTATATTATATTATTATTTAAAAGATTAAATATCATGAAAAGCGTAGTAGTATTTGTTTGTACCGGGATGGAATAAAATTGTTCTCTGTCCGTGTAAAATGTCATCTGACATGAATGACCAACATTTTCCCCAAACGTACTCTGGTCTACTCATCGTATCTACTATCAATAATATGACAAACAACTTTCTGAGCACCCATGATGAAACCCAAAAACTCCCCTCTGAAATTCCTTCAACATATTCTTTGTCATCATCTAACAATCCCATTGCGTAACATGCATCACGATATGTCTCATAACAAATTCCATCCACAGTTCTTAGATCATCGTAAGATATAGGCCCACACTTTAAATTTAGGATACAACGTAAATAATAAGATTCTCCTTAACCTAGAGGGACATAAGTTAGTCAACCTATAGCAAAACCTTTTTCTGAGGTACAAATTCTCTTGTTGCAGCCTTCCAAACAAAGCTTTGAGGAAATTCAGCATAAGTTAAATCAGCTGCCAAAAACACACTCTCCTTTACAGATTCACATAACACAACATCAGTTACCGATGCATTATCTTCAAAGTAAACATATTGCTCGTCTGGAAAGTGAAAGCTCAATCGTTCAACAAATGGATTCTTATATTGAATTTTGAACCCAAGTATTCTCCACATTGCTTCACATGGAGAAATATACCTACAAGCATAGTAGAGTTTTATTTCATCCACGGGTTTCTCATTGTCATCTGCATTTTAAGTTTCATAAAATCCGGCTGTCACACGATCATGTCCTTTGTTGACGTATTTGAACAAATAATGATTGACCGACCCTGATTACACCACTCAACATTAAGATGAGCCCCGTACTTCAAGAGTAAATACCTATTATGGGGAACAACATATCTGTTGTCAAATTGTGTTTCGTTGGGAGCTCTAAAGCTATTGTTCCAACTTCATTACATATTATATTTTAAATATTTCCATTAAAAATAATAGAATACAAAGTTTTGTATATAAATTGACTACATCACTAAAAAATAAAAACCTCGAATTTAAAAATAATAGTAATAACAATCACACTTTCAACTTGTTGTGGTTTTGATGGAAGATTATTCTCTATATGTGTTGATACTTCGTCACACTTATGCTGGTTGTCTAGGAGACGCACATCTGGGCATTGGTCTACATTACTGATATTCGTTGTCCTCACATTCGAAGAACGATTAAATGGCAAATGCAATACTGTAGAAGTAAATACAAATAGTACATAATCAATATCATAAAATATTTATGGGCTAATATAAATAGTAAAAAGTAAGAATTATCATTCGTTCTATCAACGAAAGCATCTGATGATCCACTGTGATGGTGCAAGGAACATTTGTGAACATTACACTCAACATTTTCTGTTCACAAAGTCAATTAAATATAAACATGGCCTCGATTACAAGATTCTGATACAATAAACTATTTCTATTACATGATTCCAATACAATAAACTATTTCTAATACATGATTCCAATACAATAGATTATTTGTATGCCCTCAATTACTATTATTGTTTTTAGGAGCTCATTTTATGTTTGGAGTAACAATTTTGAATCTTATTTAAACTAAGCAAAACTTTTATTCACAAATCTTACTTTGGTAAGGGTCATTATCATATGAATTTTATGATTTTATATTACCATACCCAATATACATCATACAAATTATATTTTTAATCATTAAACAATAACTTGAGGCAATTATGATTCCAGTACAATAAACTATTTCTATTACCTTATTCCAATACAATACACTATTTCCGGAAACGTGACTCACTTGCTTTTATCTCTATTACCAACTTTAGCAACTCGTTTTCTATTAGGAGTAATAATTTTGAATCTTATTTAAAAATATAAGTTATCCTTTTATTCACAAATCTTACTCTTATAAGGGTGATTATCATATGAATTTTATGATTTTATTATTATCATTACCATGATACATAATACAAATTATTTTGTTTAATCATTATAAATACTTAACCCTTCTAAATACTTATTTCCAACCTATTTGAACCAATGTATGAAATTTAATAAAATAGATGAGACAATACTTAGCTTAGAAAGCAATCTACCATAATTTTGGCCCATCTGAG